CTTCGAAATTTTTAGAACACGAATCGTGCGATCCTTGCTATTGAAGGTTACTTAATTCAACCAATCACAGCCTTCTCTCCCACGCATCCGCTATAGGATGTGCGCTGGGATGCTTGCTATTGGAGATTACTTGCTTCAACCAATCATAGACATCTCTCCCACCCGTCTGCTATCGAAATTGTACAACTTGAATCTGGATGGGGCTAGAGTTTTGTTGAGCGGCGACATTCATGTGCTATCTATAAGCTGCATTACTTTCTATCATTTTTTCGCATATTAGGACTGATTCCAGATGTATCATGAGCGGCAGTCACGGCAAATGTGCCTGGTACACGCGCTGAATGCCTTATTCCAGAAACATCATTTCACCTCGGAGTCCTTAGATGAGATTTGTTATTCTCTCAATGATAGTCGATGGTTCAACCCTCACAGGTAACATTTTGCTTTTTTGTTATTTTGTAACATTACTGCCCAAATTAACGTCCTCTAGGTCGATGCTTGGCCTCGGCAACTATGATGCAAATGTGCTGATGTCAGCGCTAGCTATGTATGATTATCAAGTAAGTTAAAACTCGTTTGATCAGTTGACTCAGTGATCTCTGTCGATTATTGATTGATTCTCACGTTCTGCATTTCTGGTTGTCTGGTTCGACGTTCGATTACCTGTGGAACGGATTCGATATGATAATATAGATGCACTGATTGTCAATATCCCGACTAAGAACTATATTCCTTTTTGGAAAGGACGCCACTGGTACACGATACTGCGACAGAGCGATGGCAAGTGAGTGGATCCAGAATTTCTGTCTATTTCATCATTTTAACAGAAATATCCGAACAAAAAGAAATATTACAACCACAAGGCTACATACAACCGTAGTGCTGGCTCTTTGTCGAGTCGCCTATGTCGCGAGCCCATGTGATAGCTGCAGTTTTGGTGTCTTGCGCAGTCAGGCAATCATGGTCGACCGCTGCACGCATAGGGCTCGTGCGGCTTGGGTGGCGCCATTCTTTCGTACAGATGCGGCTGTGTGCCATTGCGTACACTGCGGGGCTACAGTAACCTTACGCCCAGTTTTATTCAATGTCGAGGAGAGACTTCGTGGAAGATGCGTCTATATTCGAGCGGAGGGGGATACAGATTTTCAGATAGCTT